GATTCGCTGCCCTCCGTGTGCTCTCTGGCCCCGATTCGCTGCCCTCCGTGTGCTCTCTGGCCCTGAGTGAAGCAACCTGTAACTTTTATTGAAATTTGGCCATCACTGAGGTAACTTTTTTGCAGTAAATGTTTTCTCTAAGTGCTGTCCCTATCCAAATATTTCCCTTTTTATCTGTATTATAATAACAGGGTTAGGCAAAAGGGGCAGATGTGAGAGTGATGGGCAGCTTTTCAAAGGACTACTTTGGTGCTTGTCTATTGAGCAGTGATGACTTTGAAGTTCATTCGTATGCAGTGAGCTCCAGCCCAGCATCCTTCCTTCTACAAGATCTCTTTCCCTGACTTCTCTTGCCAGGCTCTCGATGAGGAGTACTTGAAGGTAGATGCCCAGTTTGGGGGCGTGGATCAGAGGAAGATTTTCACTCTTGCGGAAAAGGTACAGTGTCTGGGTGTTTCATAGCAGGTCATAGAAGGTTTGGGTGCTGGGTGAATAATGGATATCAATGTTGAGATTTTACTTTTGGAAAAAACTGTGACTTTAAGGTCTCGGCTGTGTTTCTTCTGACCTCTTTCCAGTACTTGCCCTCCCTGGGCTACGCCAAGCGTATCCACTTGATGAACCCCATGGTCCCAGGCTTGACGGGGACAAAGATGAGCTCCTCCGAGGAGGTGAGTGTTGGTACTCAGGTACTGTTACACAGGGTTTTCGCTCCACACTGAGTTGTCAATGAGGTAATTAACCCAACTATCGTCTTTTTCTTGAGGTATTTTACAGCTGATTGATCAATAATATTTTTTAAAGGTACAGTTACCTTTGAAACACTACAGAGCCTGGTTAGAAGTGTTATAGTCTTGCAGATGATACCAGTCTTGTAACTGAGAGTTTGGGTGGAGCAAACACCAGAAAACACCGAGTGCGAGACCTCTGGGCTTAAGGACGTAATACAGCATTGCTGTATGGCACAGAATCATTATTTGCACAAAGCGCCTCACGCCTTCTCAGTGGGATTCTTTAGAGTGGCTCGTCTTATTAATTGTGACTGAGGAGTCCCCGTTTGCCTCCTCCAGGAGTCCAAGATTGACCTGCTGGACAGGAGAGAGGATGTGAAGAAGAAGCTGAAGAAGGCGTTCTGCGAGCCGGGCAACATCCAGAACAACGGGGTCCTGTCCTTCGTCAAGCATGTCCTCTTCTCCCTGCACTCAGGTGACGCTCGTTGCCCCTCCCTCTCCACTACAGATCAGAGCGGTGACTGTGCTGTTGTCACCTGCCAGGCACAGAGTAGCCTCGTCAGTGCTCAGCGCTATTGCTTTGCTTCCTGGTCTCTTGCAGAGTTCGCCATTAAAAGGGATGAGAAGTGGGGAGGTGACAAAGTCTACACAACCTATGAGGACGTGGAGAAGGACTTTGCAGCAGAGGTAACGTAATGGCAATAAAACTGAAACCACAGTGTGGTTTAAGAACATAAGAAAGATCACAAATGTGAGTCCATTTGTCCTGTCTAGCCTAGTTTGGTAGTTGTGAGTTAATTGGTCCAAGGACCTCATCCAGCTGTTTCCTGAGTTGTTTCACACTCACCCGGCCCTTTGGGTAAAGAGGTGCCTCTTGTTCTGTCTGATTCAAACCAAAACTTTGGTTACCTGCTCCGCCCGAGCTTGGTGTTGGACCACATTCACTTTTATCTCGGTGTTTCTTGTTCTCAGCATACCCGGGCCTTGTCGCTCTGGGTTACCTTTGCCTGGGGCGCTTCTCCCATGTCAACACATTTTGTTTCTTCCTGTTTCTCTCCCCCTCCAGCTCATTCACCCAGGGGATCTGAAGGCTTCAGTGGAGGAGTCCTTGAACAAGCTCCTGGACCCTATCAGGAAGAAGTTCGAGAGCCCCGAGCTGAAAAAACTGACCGGTTCTGCCTACCCTGACACTTCCAAAAACAGTGAGTGTCCCTGGTGCTGCCATTGGCTTTTCAAAATTAGGCGTAGGCTTCTTTTTCAGTATCCGTCCAAACCATCAGTGTGGAATTGACCCCAAAACCGAGTACAATGATATATTAAATATTACCTCCTGGGTAATCGTCTGACTTCTCTAAAGTACTTGCAGTCCAGGGTGGGTGGCACAGCTGATTGGTTGCTCTTTTTCTTATTTTGATTGACGTCAGAAGGGCCAGCCAAAGGAAATCCTAAAAACCCGGAGGAGGAGGAGATCGTCCCGTCCAGGCTGGATATCCGAGTGGGGAAAGTGCTCAGTGTCGAGAAGGTAGCGAAAAGCTGTTCCGCCTTCTCGGCTCTGCCTGTGGTGGGTGTGTGTTTGGGAATCGCTGACCAGCCGCGCTCTGTGCCCTGTGCCCCAGCACCCCGACGCCGACAGTCTGTACGTGGAGAAGATCGACGTGGGCGAGGCGCAGCCGCGGACGGTGGTGAGCGGCCTGGTGGCCTTCGTGCCCGCGGAGGAGCTGGAGGGCAGGCTGGTGGTGCTGCTGTGTAACCTCAAGCCACAGAAGATGAGGGGGGTGGAGTCCCAGGCCATGCTGCTCTGCGCCTCGCTGTGAGTACCGCCGCCAGGAGCCGGGGCGCAGAGAGGGTTCGAGCGGCACGGCCGGAGCATCTCTAATACGGCACGGGAGAGTCAATCGGGGTTCGGATCTTTCTGCTCCCTGGAAGCAGGAGAAAGCCAGGTGGCATCTCTTCACCAGTGTTGGCGTTGACCATCACTGGCGTCCGTAGCTCGAGGGACCAGAGATGGGGGGGGGGGTTGTCGTGGGGGGCTGCAGACATCTCACGCCACTTCCCCTTCTGATCTGGGCACAGAGGCCAGGGGAATCGGCAAGTGGAGCCCCTGGACCCCCCTGAAGGCTCGGCGCCGGGGGAGCGGGTCTTCGTGGAGGGGTACGAGGCGGGCAGGCCGGACGAGGAGCTGAAGCCAAAGAAGAAGGTCTTTGAGAAGCTGCAGGTACGTCTCCCCCTGATTCCCAGACCTTGATTACTGCTCCGTTCAGAAACCCCACTGCTCTGTCTCCACATAAGCAGGTCTTACTGCAATGTGAGTATCCAAGAGGAAAGGCTTGCCCACAGCAAACCCGATGCAGTTTAATGAAATAAAGCGAAAGGCAGTATTCGCAGCACTGTGCGCCTTTCATGCCAGATGTGAGGCAGATGCAGTTTGTCCCCCCTGCACTGGAACGGAAGCTGTGAGGGTGGTGAGTGGGAGCTAAATGTTAGTGACCTGTTACACATCGAGTGCCTCAGTAAATACACTCGCATTAACAGGTTATTTCTTTGCTTTTTTTGGTGACATTTTTTTCTGCACCAAAACTAAGGTTACACATGCATAGGAGGTCTATCCAGTTTGAAATCAATTTGATTCTGAAATGACAGGCAGGGAAGCTGCTCAGTATTGCTCCTTTATCATGGTTACTGATCACAGGGTCTCAGGTTTTATCGCAGCTGTATGTTTGTGTTGTGTCTGGTGGGAACAGGGACTGTAGTTGTGCTGTCTCACTCTTAGCTTGGGTTTTTACATGGGTGCTACACCCTCTGCTTTGAGTGGATCTGTCCCTGTTAACATAAATGTATACAAATACTACTTCATATCAAAGATCTTAATATTTATTAAAATATGCCTCGCAGTCAATGATAATCATTTAAGGAATTTAAGTCTGTGGTTTAAGGGGTTTGTCTAGCCTTTCATGTTAAAGAATTATATTTAAAGTTTTAAATATTGTAAAGAAAATTAAAAACAAAATGCCTGTGACTGTCGTGACCCTGGTTGCCCCTGGGTTTTTAAACACAGGTTGACATGAAGGTGTCGGAAGACTGCGTGGCTCAGTGGAAGGGGAGCAGACTGGCGACCAAGCTGGGGCAGATCACCTGTAAGACTCTTAAGGGCGGCAGCATCGGCTAAACACCACCGGCACCCCCCCTGCCCTGCAGAGTCCGCCTGAACCCGTGGCCCCTGTGTGGCACAGCCTGGCAAGAGTCAGCCATGTCTGCTGAGAGGGCGAGGGGTTCAAACAGGACACTGGGAACACGCTGCGCATAAAATAATGTACACACGGAGGGTTAGGGTATTGTTTTGGAGGGACAAACAAATTGTCGAAAGAACTTGTGAGCATGTTACAAAGCACTGACATTAATTTGGGAAAAATCATAGTGGCAGGTTATTTGTTTCAGCTTTGCTGCAGCCCACCAGGTTTATGCTCAGCAAGGCTTCTCCTACATTTATTCCAGTTTCCGAAGTTCATGTCTCAGTAGAAACCGTCTTTTTTTCAGAACACTGGTTCTTCGGGTGGGTGACAAAAGCTATAGTGGCAGAAAACCAACATGATCTTGAAAGTTGAGATCTCCAGATGCTGGCAATCCCTGGGGGTGCCACTTTCTGATTTTAGTGCCACAGGTTCTTATTTCTCAGCTCAGCTCGGGGAACTGGCTCAGGATCCCCATCCAGTCAGCAACTGAGTCTTGATCTCCCAATCAGTCTGACACTGAGTTATTTATTCAGTACAAACCACGGTCGCTTTATGACAGCTGCCTCACGGTTCCTAGGTCTTGGGTTTTATTGTGGAGCGGGGACTCTTCTGGGTGGAGTTTGTATGTATGTTATCCCAGTGTTCACATGGTTTTCCTCCCACCTTCAAAGACACGTTGGTGTCTACATTCTCCTGTGGTGGGAGGCCTGTGATGGACTGGCATCCTATCGCTGATGAGTTCTGGGTTGTAGGGACCTCTTGCTGATGGATGTTATGTGCCAGATGCTTCCCCACCAAAGTGATTTACAAAGACTGTGAGATCTCTGCAAGTTCTCTTATCACCAGCTTCATAGCTCACCCAGTGGATGAACGACAGACATTCAGCCCATTGCTCTGTGGCACTGTAATGGCACAACTAGGATTCACACCCATAACTAACCCAATTTCCAAGCTTCATACCTTTACCACCCACTGGACCACCTGGGCTCTCCAGGTGCTAATTGGGTCATGCACTGACCCTTGTAACCTATCACTTGACTCCCACCTGGCCCATCAGTGAATAATCAAGCACGAATTAATCCCTCTGCCAGTCTCAGCAGGCACATGAAGCAAGTGAAGTTAGACTCTGCAGGTGGTACTAAAGTAAAAACACATCCTTCATGTAGAACGGGAGGCCACTATGTTCATCAGATTGCCATGTAACCATTTGCAAGGCTGTACTGTAACTCGTTTTATCTCGCTGTTAAAAGCAACAGTGACCACCTGTAAATTAATAAAACGTTGTCCAAGTCACAGCTTGTTTTCCTTATTGTCATGAGCATGGAAGCTCACCACCAAGAGGGGAACTGCTCTCTACAAGTAATATCCTGCTTAAAGAGGTGTTTAATTGTATATCCTATGTAACCTATGCCAAAAAATGGATCTCATGTTACTAATTAAGTTTCTCTGAAATCCCTTAACCTCTACATAGATTAATCAATTAAGCTAAGAAACTGTTTTGAAGACATTAATTTTTACCATGTATAAATTACATCCAAGATATATCTTCACAATTACGTTGGGAGGAGGCTTTACTGAAAATACACCAAGAAAGAATCAAATCCAAGACACTACATTAAAGAATTCTAAGGCATTTTATTTATACTTTTGTTTAAACAAAGACATTTAAACTGTACATTTATTATAATTACTTTGGATTTCCAAGGCAGAAGGTATTGTTTGTACACAGTGGAAAACTGAGACCTGTTCCCATTGAAATCATAAAAAAAAACTTTAGTGTAGTACTGCATGTTTTATGCATGTAATTCATATATAGAACAGCAACAGACAATTAAAAGTGAGTTTTGAAGTAATACTTACAATGGAGAAGATAACATACAAAAGTCAGGAGCACATTGCAGATTATAGAAGAGTTCCTTCTATGAGTTTAGGAGTGTGTAACGCTGTTGATGGAAGTGATCTGCTTACAACATGTCAGTGATCTCCAGTGAATACGAAGGTAATGCGATTTGCCCACAACACAAACATGAGCTTAGCTTACTTTGACCCTTTCATCAAAGACAAACCTATTGATATTGAACAGAGGTGATCCTAAAAAAGACAATTCTTTTCCATAGCTGTAAACTATATAATGTTACATATGAGATCAGCCCCTATTTGACTTCCAGGATCATCTGTAACACTTGAAACAATCTGAAACAATTTAGGGACCAGAGTCTTCCACCTGAACTCACAGTTACAGATCTGGTCTAATTAATTTGCTGTGAACCTGTAACACATCTGTGCAGGCTCCAAGATGTTTCTTAAGTAACTGTACCTTTACTCCAGTGCATAATTCACGTTATACACTGTAAAAGACCTTAAGAAAATTCTTGCTTGTATCCAGAAGAAGGTTAAGTGTTTGACTGCTCAAGATGGATCAAAAAGCAGAAAACACTGGGTCTTCCAGTTACTGTGTCCGAGACCCTCGATCTACTGCGATGGTGAACTCCAACATCTGCACAAACGGGCAGCTTAATTCCTTGCATCTGTTTCTTCGTCTCAACACAAAGGCTTAAAAAAGTGAAAAACAGTGGTCAAGTTATTGCAGGTTAACAATGAACAGATTCGTTCTCTAAGCAAGGTCAGGTTGCTTGCGTAGGACTCCTGGAGGGTGGAGCTGGGATTGTGACAGCCTGCAGCAGCTCACTACTGGCCATGTGCGTTTCTTCAGCAGCTTCTCCCAGCTCTCCAGCTGCTGGCTCTGAACAGAGGCCTAGAAAACCAGCAGGCACAGTGGCCCTCCAAGACCGGCACTGGCGATCCTGCATCCAGACACTAGGTATTGTGACAGAAAGCCATCTAATGTGCTCTCCCCCCTGTAGTGGCACCCCTTGAAGAGGTTTACCATGGTGTGTTTGCAGTTTTCAGGTGACCTGCTGCGTTTATACCATGTTTGGTTTCCTTTTCCACAGCTGGTGGCATGCACTGTATGACCAAATGGCTCATGTCCCTTCACTGTGCTCCTCTTCCTCACTTCTGCCTTGTCATGCCGGAGTACTCAACTCAGCCCGGCCGTTCCCTCCTAAGCATGTGGTTGACTCACAACAATAAGCTTTACAAAAAGCAACTGCCTCACTCTTGACTTGAAGGGTATTTTAATTCTACAAGGTAAGACAAAAGACAAAACACTCAATACCCCAATTACCAGCGTGCACCGTGCCAGTGAAAATTAGGAAGCCTTTATCCTTCAGAACAGGAAGCAAAAATGGATACATCCCACACTTTGAAATGCGCAACAGCAAAACTTTGTATTTTTTTTATCAAATGAAGGATTCAAAGGCTTCAGAAAATGGTAATGTGAGTGTTGTTCTAGTGCACACCAGTGTCCCATCACTGCCCTGACAGCAACCAGGAGGTTGGTTGTGTTCTGGGACAAAAATCTCTGGAGAACAGACTATCACCTTGGTCTGCACAAAAGACCAAGACAGCTCTCTGTTTTCAATCTCCATAGAACAGTAACAGTAACCATAAAAGTAAGGCTTTACCCATTTGTACCAGTCAAATAATAATGACATGAAAAACTCACTTTTCTCAGGAGAGGATGTTAGTGAACAGAAGTTTAAGCAGATCAAACATATACAGAAACAGATTTCTATTCTGTCCAAGTTCCAGCTCTTAGCCAGCCTACCTAGCATTAATCCCCCCCAAACTGCAGTACCTCAAATGCAAAGGAATTGTCCACGTTTGTGAAGTCCAGTCTTGAGCAGCAGATATTCAGCCACTGGGCACAAGACTAAAACAGGCATTGCGATCTGTCTAATAGAATTAGATCCAGCCCCAGTAAACCAAACAGTCTTTCTGGGAAAAAAAGAGGCAAACTGGGGAAAAAAGGTGAAAATTACAAAATATACAAAATAATTACAACTCCAGTTTCCCCTTTGAAAGTTAGACAGAATTCTTTAAGTTGTTATATTTTCTGGGAACAGTGCAATAGTGTCTTATACATTTTTGCCTTAGAGCCTAACTAAAAAGCAGCTAATTTCCTAATATTTAAGTTGGTGGAATGAAGGACTTTACTGGACCATACTCTCGGCCATACTCTCACTGCTTTGCAGATTCCCATAACTTGGGACATCCTAGCAACAGGTTTAATTCATACAAAGTGCTTTAATGATTGCCAACTTTATCATTTTTTAAAAATTTAAAGATGCAATATCCCTTTTTGTCAAGCACAACCTACTTTTTCCCCCCACACAAAACGAAAAGTAGAGGATAGTACAAATTTATGTTTTTCTTGCAAGGTCTGTAACATCCTTTGTTTGAAACAAAGAAAAATACAAAAAAAAGATGTACTTTTCAATCTTTTCAAGTGGAATGGATACTGTATTGGGTCCTTTAGAAAGAAAATAAGCTTAATTTTTTAACAAATAACAGTATTAAAACCAACAGCAAAGGGATATAGTAGTAGTATTTTCAGCTACACTCCAAAAAGGAATAGTGCATTTTTTAATGGAAAATAGAGCTTCCAGGTGTTATACACACAGAACTGGCCATCCACCAGCTGTCTTGAAGATTTTTTTTCCCCCAAAACGTGGCAGCAGTGGTTTCTACCTGTTACAACCACTAGGTGGAGACCTAGACTTGCAGTCAAGCACCAGATGGGAACAATCCACAGAACTGGAGCCCAAAGTGCCCAGGTCATCGCACTAGAGCTCTTTTTACAATTCGCCAAAGCATAAAGTCTTTAGGATTTTAAAAAAATACTCCATAATAAAGCTATTATATTAAAGAAATTAAAGACCAACACCATTTTTTGCATAAATATGAAGGCCATTTTTAGGCTAAGGCTTATCATAAAGTGTCCTCCCTTTGAAAAGCTCCAGTCTTCTCTCTCTCTTGACCTTTGACCTGTTCAGGTCCCTGAGAGAGGTGTTCCTGAATTTCTGACCGGTCAGTCTTCAGATGCTGGACTTCGTTCATGAAGTGGAAGATGTCACCGGGTTTCCAGTTTCTGGATTGCCTGTGTATGAAAACAGAAATTTGTACTGTGCTGATGTAAAACGTCTGGTCTGCATTACAAACACTGACCTAAGAGCAAATCAAGTAACTGACGTCTAAGGAAATTCATAAAATATTAAAGGAACGGAAAGACATTTCAAAGTCATTCTTGAAGGCAGCTGAAAAATTCTCAGTAAAAAAAAAAACTAATCCCATCAGAGACTTCGATTGTTTCAAATTTTTTAAAAAAGAGTTGAATATGTGTAAAGATGGAGACATTTTCACATTTTCTCTGCATTTTGCCCTTGGCATCAGCTGCTACACACAGGCTGTCCAAAAGGTGGCATGGAACACAGGCATATAGAAGCATCAAAGGGGTGTGGCTTCACTTTCAAGCATACAGCGAGGAGCCAGGCTTACCACATTTGAAAAATGGGCAAACTACCACAGCCATTCAAGAGCAAAATGCTTTCTGCAGGAAACATAACTGCAAGCAGTGGGTAAGTCTACAACTACCCAGATAAATGTAAAGCAAAGGTCTATGGCTCCCAGCAGTGACCAAATTAGGTGAAAAGAGAATGTGCAAACGCATTACTAACTATGGGTTAGTAATACTGCCAAACTTTTGAACACAATACAAAATATGGGCAGCGTTGCAAAAAATGAAACATACTTGCAGATTCCGTTTTCTCCTTTGGTAGTGCTTGCTGGCCAGCAGGTTGCACGCTCTCTATCTGCTCGTGTGTGTCTGGCCCCTTCAGCTCCCCTTCTGCAGTGGACAAAGTCTGCTGCTCACTCAGAGAGTTCTCCGTCTTTGTTGTTGGGCTTGCGGGCTTGACTGGGTTGTTTGATACATGTGATGGCTTTCTGGCCACAGGGGGTGGCACTTTGCCTGGTTTCTTCTGAGTTGCTGGTTTGCCGCTGAACGGTGGGGGGCTTGTCGCCGTTTTAGTGGGGCTGGAGACCGACATGAGCTCTGCCACTAGGTTCTTCTTGAGATCGGTCTGAGCCTCTGGCGACGAGGGCGTCTCGATGACAACTTTCTTTGTGCTCTTGGAGAAGATGAAGCTGGCAGTGGAGGCTGGAGATTTGTGAAGGGCTCCCTCCTCTGGGGACCTTGGGGAAGATGCCCCCGGTTCATTGCTGGCTGTGGAAGAGGAGGATGACCGTAGGCCGAGTCTGGCCTGGTATCCATCTTTGGAAGACATGGCGGCCGTCTTCATGCGAATGGCTTCTTGGAGTCTCATGGAAGGCGAAGGCGCGGAAGCAGGTGGAGACTTTAGAGAAAGAGATTTGCGGATCGGCTTTTGGGGTACGCTCTGATTCTGGGACTGGCTCTGGTCCTGGCTCGATCCGTTTCCATCACTCGATTTGGTTTCCTCCTCGGGGGCCTTGGCTTGGTCACCTCCCACATTGACAGATCGCAAACGTACCATCTGCAGAAGGGACGGCGTCACCAGAGGGATGCTGGCGTCCTCTTTGGGTGGGGGCATGCTTTTGCTCCGTGAAAGCAGCTCCTTGTTCTTACTCTCATGACTTGACAGGCTTGGCTGCTTCCTGAAGTTTCCAGGGGCCTGCTTTTCTAGAGCCAGGAGAGGAGCCGGAGGAGCAGTTGGTGGGGGTGCAGGTGCGATTGTAGAAGAAGCCAGTGGTGTACAGGCAGCTCCTGGAGGATTTTCTTGAGAAGGCTGAACTTGGACTTTAGAAGAAGACTGATCTGATGCAGAAGCTGCTGGAGGGGAAACTGTCTGAGGAGGTTCACTGGGTTTGATTTTGGCCAATGACAAAGTGGGTGCTTGAGGAATTACCTCAGCCTTCTGCAGCTCTGACACTGAACGCAGCAACATCGCAGATTCCTCCTTTGAATCTGTAGGTGCTGCTTCTATTACTGCTGTGGTGGTTACTGTATTTGTTTCCTCAGGCTGTACTGTTACAGAACCTGTAATTGTTTCTGAAGCCAACAAATGATTGGAGCTCTCGGGCATAGCAGGGGAACTCCCTATTTCTGGGAAAGCTTCCTGAGAAACAGGAGGAGGTGGTGGGGGGAAGGAGAAGTCCAGCTCATCCTGCGTAACCACGACGGCTACCGGTTCGTCCAATGGAGGGGGAGGAGGTGGCCATGTGGATTCGGGTCCGGGGGTCTCCAGGAGAGGCTCAGGTGGGAGGGAAGAAACAGATGAGGTAGGGGTCTTCTTGGCAGGGGGTGGGGGTGGATGATGAGCAGGGGGAGGAGAAGGGGGTGGCGAAGGGCCTACTTTTGCTGGAGCTGGAGCTGCAAGGTACTGTGCAACTGGTGTTGGGGTCATCGTCTTCTCAAGGGGAAGGTTCTGCTTCTTCTCCTCTTGTGAAATCTCCTTGTTCTGTAGTAATGGACTCTTCTGAACCAATGGCACAGATTCCTTCTTATGCACAGCTGGGCTGCTCTTTTTCATTACTGGAGGGGGCTCCTTCTTTTGAGCTGGTGGACTTTCCTGCTTAGGTGCTGCTGGTAGCTCTTTCTTACTTTGGGATGGGCTCTCCAGTTTCTGCAGAGGGGGAGACTCCATCTTGCTTTGTCCTGGACACTCTTGCTGGGCAGATGAAAGTTCAGTTTTCTCTACTGCTTGAGTCTCGTTCTTCGCTTGTGTTGGACTTCCTGGCTCCTCCACTGAGCAAACCTCCCTCGGCGATTCCTGCTGCTGCTGCTTCTGCTTGGTAGCAAATCTATTTGTAATGACACTATGGCCATACAATATCTCAAAGGTCCGCATTTTGTTGACCCATGTCTCAGGAGGAGGAGGAGAAGGTGCTTTCACCTTTGGCGGTGGTGGAATTTCAAACATCTCTTTGAGCTTCACTACGGCAGGTGAGGCGATTGCTTCAGCACTCTCGGACACAACGGGAGAAGAAGGTTTAGGCTGCACAAGCTGAGCATTGGTCGAAGTCTCTTGGTGAACAGCCTCTGATGTTGCCGATGACAGAGAGGTCAATGAGGAGGAGACGGAAATGCCAGGAGACAACCGGGAGCCAGTTCTCTCTGGTTTTGCTGGCCTGGTTTTCTGCCTGCCTGGTGAAGAAGGTGAAACAGCTATCTCTTTGGTGGAGAGAGTGGGGGTGCCACTCTGGCTGGAGTAGCCGCTGGAAGGAGACAAGGTCCTCTCAAACTTGCTCCCAAGGGAGTGTAGTTTCTGTGGGGAAGAGTCATTCGAACCCGGACTCTCCTTCAGTACAGCAATTCTACCTGCCCTCTGGTCTTCAGCGAGTGGGCTGGCCGCCTCAGGAGATCTGGAATCATCTGGAGAGCTGCAGTCTGCAGAATAAGCCGGACTCCCAGAATGGGCACTGCTGGGGGAACCGGGTGAGAAAACCTCGTCCACCTGGTGCTCCAGTTTCAGCTTGTCCTGGTGCAGGGAATATGTCCTCCTTGGGGGGGCAGGGGGCCTTTTCATCTTCATCACCGATAAGTTCCGGTTGAAGGAGCGGTCACTTTGGATGCTGGCGGTGTCGGAGCATTCCACCATGCTGCTCGTGCTAGGAGCCGGGGACGTAGAGCCTCCACTGTGCTTGGCGGCCAGGCTGCAGGAGGCGCTCGCCCAGCTGACCGAGCTATTGACGCTCATCCGGTCGCACTTCTCCTTCTTGGGAAGGCATTCTTCCGTACCATTCTGGGCCCGGGATTTCTTGGCGCTGCCCTTTGAGGAAATGGTGGAGGAGTTGGACACGATGGTCTCGGAAGACTGGGAGTGGCTCCAGTTGGAGCTGTTGGAGGAGAGGTCGTGCGTGTTGAAGTTGCGGGCAGATGAACGCATACTGGACCGGGTGGAGGCTGGGCTGGCCGTCACCAGGCTGCTCTTGCTGACGGTGCGAACGCTGCTCCTGCTGCGGCTTCTGTTAATCTCTATGACATCCACCAAGGCAGGCAGGATGGCGTTGGGTATGATCTTGGACATGTAAGTAGCCTGGGGCGACATGGACATCACGGGGCTTGGAGGCTCGTGCATAACACTGTGCGTGGTCATTCCCGGCACAGCCAGGGATTTCGGCCTCTGTATGGGAGAGAACCTGGGGCCAACTTTCTGGTTCAAGGCCAGGTCGTCTTTGTAAACTGCCATTATGTGACGCTTCAGGAGCTTCTCTTCGCTGGCTTCAATAGCCTGCAGGTGGACCCTGGCGCCCTCATGATTAGCTGCATGCACTTCTCCATCAATGGTTGGTATAACCACAGAACCATCGCCTCCGTTTGCCAGCTGGAATGAGACTGGGCCATCTACACTGTGGTGTATTCTTGAGCCTCTATCAATCCCTTGGAAAAGGGGAAACAAAGGACACAGAAATCAGAATTAAAAGAACACCTACAAAAGGTATGCATGTCCCTACAAGACTTTAAAATGATTTTGCATCAGTCCTGGCGCAAGTGTGATCATTCATTAATATCATAAAAAAAATGATGGAGCCTCATGTACTCAATCCAGTAATTAAGTCTGGAAAAAATACAAAATACCTTCCTTGGCAACTACTGGTGTAGATTCTGAACAATGAAGGGATCAATTTTCCATTTCCAAAGGAATCAGCTTGATGCAAAGGGAATGTGCTTTTACAGTAGTTTTACATGTATAAATACAGAAGCCTGCTGAGCTGTGGTCCTCAGGCATCAGTGAAGTCCCTGCTTTAACAGCTATAAGCACACTCCCCGACACATACAGTACAGTACCTAGTTCCTTTTGGACATGTTGTGGTATTCCCATTATAGTGGTCCTTCGGCTTCTCTTTTTGGTCTTTTCTGGCTTTTTAGGGTTATTGCATGGCTTGAAGGTAGAGCCTGTAGAGAGAAAAAAGCCATTTAATTGGTTCACCCTTCTCCTTGCCCTGCAGCCCTGGTGGTTTAAACTTGGGAGCCTCGGTGTCTGACATTCCAGCATTCCCACATTTTTCTTCTCAATTTCTCATGTCTTCTTTTTCTTTAGACAAGGACTGTCACATTGCTGGGGGAGGGGGCCATGTGTTCTGGCTTCCCCCCCCCCAACCTGAGTACTCAATAAAGCAATTAACCTAATTATTTTCTCAGACAGATGTAGGATTCTTCTTAGGAGTCTTTCACAGTTGAAGACTCAGATAAGTGAAAGTACAGTCATGTATAAAACCCATAAATGCCAGATCAGAAACATCACAACTCAGTATATTAGATTTAACAAACTTGTAACACTTAAGAGGCAAATTATTGTTTATCAAGGTTTAATTAAACATATAGTTCAACTAAGGAGCCTCATCAGGCTCAGTAATCCATAACTTGGGGTCCCCCAGGGATGAAGCCACTTTAGCCTGTCGGGTGAAGATTGATCTTCAGGGCTCTGGCTGGTCAGAAAGATGTACCTGCGCGCACCAGTGCAGAGCGTGTTGATACAGCTGATACGGTGTCTGCTGTTGTGCTTGTGGACTCTAATGATCCTTTCCTGTTCCTGTACACGGCCTCAGACTCGGGCTGTAGGGTCATAGAGGACTGCAGAAAGCAAACAGGAAAGTCAAGTCCACAGCGGCTCGCTTGCACAGAGAGCTTGCACAAAAGAGTTTTCTTCTTGTTGAAGGTTTGCTTCTGTATGAGTTGCTTAAAAACCTTTTTACCAATGACAGGTGTAAATATCGCAGAGTTTGAGTAACTGCATTAGCAGTTCACGTTCAGCTACTTACGCTGATACTTTGGTCATCCCGGTGGTGCAGTCCGTTTTCCTTTTCGTTTTCTAAAAAACGAAACGTACAGATTCGTAAATACAAAATTACAGAAGAGCGTAAAAAGAGATGGGCCTGTGCCACCTGTTCCAGCCACCTGCCGCTCAGAGCGCACAGGCTGTGAACGGGCCCGAGACGAGACGAATGAACGGAGAAGGGCTGCGCACCTTCCAGCTGGAGACTCTTCAGCCCCTCCTGCGCCTCGCTGTGCAGGTCCTCCAGGTACTGCGGCCGGCTGCCTTCGATGAACACGTTCTCCTGGAAGAGCGCCGATGCCTTGAAGTGGACCGTGAGCTTGCCATCGTCCTCTGGCTTGGGCGCGGCTGCGAACGAGAAGAGGCACACAGGTACAGTAGGTGCAGGGCATCGGACTGCCGCAGCACATTACCAGTTCAGCTCAGTTTATTGTCATACGCACAAGTGCATTGAAACGCTTAACTGCATGTGTGCTCCAATACAAAGACATTAAAGGAATCGCCAAAAAGAAACACAGAACAGCAGCTGCAACAACAAGCTAAATTACATACAACTTAAAAAAAACATCAGTGTGAGCCAGGGGCAGAGGTCGAGTTCAGTAATCCGACAGCTTGTGGGAAGAAACTGTCTCTGAATCTGGAAGTCCGTGCCTTTATGCTCCTGTAACGGTGACCAGAAGGAAGGGGGGAGAAAAGTGAGAAACCAGGGTGACTGTTTGTACACAAGCCAGCGCCAGACCCTGGGTGCTATAGGCTTGCTGTGTTGTGGGGAGAAGATACACTTTGATCAAAGCGTGAAAGTAGAAAAACAAATTAAAAACGGACATAAGTGGCAAATAGGATTGAATACAGGAGAAATAAAGCTTTGCAACCAGACATGGTAGCTGAGCTCAATCCGTCACCCTGTGAGACATACAGTACAGTCTGGAGTCTTGGCCATCTGAAGCTGAAGGGCTTCAGATGGCCAACACACAAGCTCACTGATGCTGGAGAGACTCTGCAGTCAGCCCAATTACATTAATTACATAAATCTCCATTTTCTTGCCTTTTGCTGGCGGTGTGTTCAACCATATCATATCTTTAATCCTCGAAAAAAAACGTTCACTAAAAATGAAGGTGAAACAGTAATACTGATGTTGTCTAGAGTGACATTTCTGACCTCTGAATTCATACTGAGTGAGTGTAAAGAAAAACTGTTATTGGTAGACTTTGGTGTGACTGGAACAAAGCAGTGCAACATGTTGCTGACAAGTGTAGCAACCTGGAATTAAATGCAAATTCAGTTCCTGAAAGCCTTTAGTTTCTGGAAATGCTCCTCCCCAGTCTGCTGTGATTGGAAAAGCTCTGCCAGCTCTGGTCTATTGACAGTGCTCACCTGAAGCCTAGGAGCGAAAAACAACAGTCTACTGTGAGACTTCTGTGTGCTCCTTCTCATGTTGCAAAAAACCAGAATGAAACAGATTGAACTCAGAGCTGCCACGGAGACCGAATCCCAAAAGGGCAAGTACTGCTGGAGGCAAATCCACCGCTTTCATATGTCACTGTCAAAGAGGGTACAGACTGTGGCAGCCCAGGATCCTGGCATGTATGCTATCTACAGGCATGCAATCAACGTAAACAGCAAAACGAAGCCTTTTGGTTAAGAATTCACTATGAATGAAATGCAAGACGGGTGTGATAGGAACAAAAATGCAGTGTGGCTGCCACACACTAAGTCTTGAATCAGGAAAGTACCAACTTGGATGCAAAATCCCTAACTTACACAAAAATTAAAAAGGGTTAACTTAACCTGCTATGAGAAGACTTGGTTTCAGTTCATCTTAGACTATTCTGGCTCTTAGACAACTGGCAGCGACCTTCCAAGAAGCAGAAGACAGTTACTGCATGTACTGGCACAAAAGGTCTTTAAAAAGGATGAAAAACAATGGAAAGGTTCATGACCTCCCTTCCATAACATGCAAGTGGGCTGACACCCTCTTCTTCATTGGTCAAGATCCGATACCATTGGCAGCAAGAACTCGGGGAGTCCGTGGGTTAAATCCTGTGCCCATTCACACCAGGGCAATACATGTGACAGCCGAACGGACCTTCTGCCCCCCAGCACCAGTCAAGCCAAGATCCTTCAGACCCCACACAGGACACAGCAGACATCGCAACAACAACAACCTGTCCAGCTTGCACTGTTCCCACAGCCTCCACTCCCTGAGATTTAACCACTACAACAGTACTGATGCAACTCAACACAATAAAACAAAGCCGTCAGAACTTTGCTACATGTACAACAAAAATGAAGCCTCCTCCTGCCTCCTTCTCCAAGTTTTTTTTAGTTCATCTGATTGTATTACGTTTTGAACAGATAATCTGTATACCCAAGTACACAGCTTTGGGCAGGTTGGACTTCTCATGCTTTATGTAGCAATAAAGCACGCGTAGTCCAAACTATGAAACATCAGGATATCAGTTGCATGACGAATTCAGAACACCCTGGAGGGCGCTGCTGGTAGTATTCATTACAGTAGTTATGATCCTGAGAGACGCACTCTGGTGCTCTCTGTTGCTGACATAGTGGATGTTTTCAGAAGCACTTATTAAGAGCATGAAGGTGATGTGCAGAACCATATCCCTGAGGTTTAAGGATTTATATCCAAGACTAATTTTGTAGGCTATGAACAGAACTTCATGTCAACCAGACAATCTGTCATAATTGTTCATGCATGTTTGCACTCCCATCAATACAACTCATCCTTGCATTGTGAGAATTTTCAGTGTGATGTCTCATGCAGGGATCTTCTGAAAACCTTTCACTGATGCCCAGCATCAGTCACTCAATCTCTTATGTAGAACTTAAACCCCATCTGCTGATAAAACTTTACACTGTGCATTTCCTCACAGCACTGCATTCTGCTAATGGTGGTGAATAATACACAGCAGTCATGTTATGTAATGCTGGTTAATTCATCCCTTGATTACCTCTTAATTACAGTCACCTTGCAGGACTTGCAGCTGCTGTGTATTTTAGAACCTGTTTGCCTTGAGAAGAACGGCCCACATGAGCAAATGGATAATAAACTCCATCATTTCAGAATCACATGCAGCTAGAGATTGTGCCAAAATACAGCCATGAAACAGTGGATGAATTCACTTAATACAGTCTCCCTGAAACAGGGAACTAGACCTCAGCTTCAAAAAAAGAACAGCAAGGGGCCAAAGCTTTCTTTCAATGCTGGCGTTGTAGATGAACACCTGGCTAAGCAGGCCGGAACATTCTTGGCATTTTCTCCCAGCTGCCCAGCTACAGTACGTTCTGTAATCCACGGTCTGCGGCACAGGACAGCAACAGTGTGGGCGGCTCTCAGAAGGAAGGGGAGGGTCAGTCCAGTCTCCCCAGGGCCCAGCCTGGTGAATCTCCTGCAATTCATAGCAACTGCAGCAGCTTCCAGTCACAGAGATGGCCACCCTAAAGCCGGCTCATCGCAGTGGTAAGGAGACAGAGCAGGTGAAGACAGCAGCACATGGGATTCCCCACCCTGGCCACATGGCACCTGAACAGAAGAGGCTTCATCTCCATGTTGCCGATTAAACGGTTAATCGATTAGACAGGATGGAAAGTAGACAATAAGAGCAGGGGGCTCTGGAGAGCCATTACCTGGAGGAGACAATAAGAAAAAGAAACAGCTGGCAAAGCCAAAAGAGCTCTTAGCTACATGTGAACAGCGCTCTGATTAACAGTGGAGCCCTTCATTAAACCTTCCTTCACACAGCCTGGTGAACGGCAGAAACCTCATCCCGTACAGCAGACACACAATGGACCAGGAAGCTGAAAGCATCAAAGCTCTCCGACCTAGAAAAGCAGCCCATTAGTAAAGGAATCCCTCCGCCTCAACGTCTAATCTATTGAATTAACAGAACCACACTTCTGTATCAGATGTCAGAAATGTGATTACTAGCGCTGCATTAAGCAGGCTGTCCTGGTCATGCAGCTTTGCAGAATACTACAGGTAATGATCCAAGGGAACAAAAGTGGAAAATAACTCACTCATAAAAGGAACAAGGTTTTAAGAAAGTATGAAGATCACAGTAAATATACAGTGCCTATAGACTTTCTATATGTCCTTTCAAAAGCAAAACTTTTTATAGACTAACAACCTGAAATCAAGTCACCTTAAATCATAATTTATTTTTCCTATATTTTTACACAGTGTAACACGCCTCTTAGTGAAAAACACATGCTGAAACATCCTGAAAAGAAAATTAAAAATCCAGCACAGTAAATTGATTTTTCTTCTGATCGGTTTCTTTTTGTACACTGAGAGGAATTAGAAATATAACAAATAGAGAACCAGGTTCATTTAACATTAACATGGAGGCTCGCAGTGCTCCAGTGTATTTCTGTTGTGACACGGCCACAATATTGCATGACTGAGCTGATCCTGCTCTGTGGGTTTAGAATAACCCTGACTAAGGTGACTGATGCTTAAATTGATTCATCAGCACTCTGTGGGAGGAAAAGAAGGAAACATTCATCCAGCAAGACGGGAAAGGAATTGCTCACAAAACAATGCTGATCAATGGTTGTATGTTCTATGCAGATTTTAATGAGAAGAGTATATTTAAGAGGAGCAATGACAACTCAGTGTACACAGAAACAAAACATTTGTGTAAAATCAGACATTGTTCAATTCTCCTAGTAAACAGAATCTGAGCAGTCAACTTTTCCATGAAGCTCTACTTTTAAATCTGTTCTCTGTCATTCAGACTGCTAAGGGAGGCGTCGACTAGATTCGACAGAAGCAAAATGCACTTCATATAGCAGACTTCAGGGACTCTGAACATTTTATCACCAGAAAGCATGACTGCCCTCTTCTTGCTTCGAGTCAGCCTGATCAAGGCAATTTCAATCAACACATCATTGTGAAGGTGAAACGGTGACACAATGTACTGTAGGAAAAAAGGCGATAAAGCAGTCTTTAAAAATTGATGGTATTGTAAGGTACCTATTAAATGTACAGTACAGTGTGTACTCTAGTCTGGGAACAGCACAGTGGAACAGGTGAGTCTGATTTCATTGAAAATACTCTGTACACCAACTGATTACATTTCTTTTACTTTTCAGAGGCTTTGTACGGCATCATGGTCTAAATGTAGTGTAGACTGACAATGGTAGCATGAGCTAGTGTGTGTGCATATATTTAACAACTTTATTTTAGTATTTTAGGATTTTTGGTCCTTTGATTATAAAAATAAAAAACGCTCTAAAATAGGAGTTTTATATAATAGGAGTACCTGTTTAAGTTATGACCAACACAAAAAGAATAAAGTAAAAGGCTTTGATACCCATCCACTTTATA